ATTCTGTATATGCAAAGTTATAAAGGTAAATTAAAAAAAGTTGAAGTTTTCTACTGAAAAAAAATTGCGTTTAAAAATCATTATAAAAATATAGTCTTCTACGATAAAAAACAAGCATACAATTTCTGCTTGAGTTGTGGCTGAAGAATGCTGCTTGTCAAATGATTCCGCAAAGTGTGCTCGGTATTTTTGTTCCATGGCTGACTCTTTGAATCGCAATGTCCATTTATTTAAGGCATTGCTGTGCGTATAGAATCCGCCCGTAAAATTAACTTCAGCCCCCTAAAAAACCAGATTGAAATCCTTCTCTAAAGGAAAAGCAGGTGAAAAATTATTCCAAATGCTATTGCTTTTAACTGATAAAATAATTGGTTTTTTGGCTCATAACTATCCTGTCTCATTCAACCCTCGATATAGATAATCCTTGTTCAAGCTGTTTTGAAAAGAAGCATTTCAAAGTCTGGCCTAAAGGATATAATAAGTAACTCTGTTGCTTTTCTCAGTACTTTATCACCACAACGAACTATTCACAAAATAGGAAAAATTTCGTATTCCATAAAAACAGTATACCTGGATTACTTGAGCCAGCCGCTCATCAAAGTCGCGATTGTCAGTATCGAAGCGGGATAAAGAAGCTGCATTTTGATGTAATGATATTGCTGTATCGATACCACCACCAACAGAAAAGTCTTCTTCAGAACTGCTCTCCTTAAGTTGAATCTGCGTGAACGTAATTTATCAGCTTATTACGATAGTCTTTTTTATATCAACAGTTAAAATAACAATATGTATTTTCCCTAACCTGAAACCCAGACGTTTTTGATCCGCGCAAACTGTTATTACATGTACTATCCTCAGTGACAATATCGCGAGACAACTTGCCACCAATTAATTCGGCTTTAGTAAAGTGCCTTGAATTGGCTGACGAAAGAATTTCGAGAGATGCTGATTTACGTCTTTTTTCAATCGGTGGAGAGCGACTTGCATGTGAATTCTGAACCACCATAATACTGATAATGGTACTTTTTTAGATCAATCTATTTTGTTAAAATTTCAATACTACAAAGGCTAAAAATTCAAATTTATTACATAGAATAGTTGCATACCTCATCAAGGCATTCGCTATAATGAAGCAGTTGTGCTGAGTTACTTTCACGATGTTTACCCGGAGTTCTCATACGTAAACTGCCCCTTGAAAATGCATAGTTTCTGACAACAGGCAACGAAACTGCTTCAAATACCTTCAGCTTATTTGCTACTTTCTAAAATATTAACACCGTGCGTTAGAAAACACTAGCAGCGAAAAAAGTGCTAAAAGTGTTTCCGTACTGTGACGTAAACTACACGTACCCGTCTCAAACTTTGTTGAGATTTATTGATGCTGTCGAGATTGGCATCTCGACTTGAAGCTGAACAGGAAGCTGTCCTAGAAGCCATGCGTTCAATGTCTCGAACACGTCCAGCAATAAAATACGTCTTGACACCTTCAATAAATTCGTTTTTTCTCTCAAAAAATAGTTAAAATATGTATTATACAAACTTCATAGAACTTAATCATATCAAGTATTAAAGATTTATTTTTACTTACCACTGACGGTACTTCCACTTTCTAATATATATTCGTCACCCAAAAATTGTGCTGTAGCCTCCGAAATATGAACACGACCGGCGATTCCTGTTGACTCCATTATATTTGCAAATGTTACATCGTTTGAAAATACATCAAACTTGAACCTTTTAATTCCCACTATACCACACATAACCTTCAAAAATATAATTAATACTTAGTATTACCACTAAGACTAAAACGCTTTTTGAAATAAGAAAAAATCAATTTAACATTTCCTTTCTCCATAAAAAATTTAAATAAGAAATCAAAAAATTAGCTTACCTTTCCCGTATGAATTCCGACACGCATATTCACCTCTTGACCTCTGTCCATATCGAACTGTCTGATGGCTATGATCATCGACAAACCCATTTCAACGCAGCATCTTGCATGATCAGGCCTTGGTTCCGGACATCCCGCAACACAGTAATAGCAATCACCTTTAATGAATATAATTATAGTTTAGCTGTTTTTAAGATCTGTCTAAGAAAGAAATACGACGATGAGAGGCTTTTTAATAAAAAAAAATAACTGCACAGAACGAGTTTATAGTCAAGCAGTAAAAATGATTACGGTAGTGAAATAAAGATAGAAAAAATACGTAGAACTGCGAATAGCTTTTAAAATACAAATATATGTGATCTAACTCTTACCAAGTGTACTGATTTTTTCAAGATTGCACTTTCCGCACAAATAATCAAAGCGACCAAACAAATCATTGAGCAGACTCACCAGCTCGTCGGCAGTCTTATTTGAAGACATTTTGGTAAAACCTCAAAGTTTGATTTTCCTGTGTAGTTGAAGTTGTGGTCCGTATAAATGTAAAAATTCATTTAAAATATTCAAAAAAGTGTACCGGCGATATCAGCAAACAGAATTGAAACGTCAGTCATTAAATTCATCGTGAATGGCCTGAACTTGCGAATATTTGGTGCTGATGCTGAAAATGGTACTGGCTTACTTACCCTTCCCGGTGTACTTCCAACATCGTTGGATACGTAAGATGTTCGGTTTCTTGAATCATGACTTGCTGAAGGCCGCCGTACAGTTTCTCTTAAAAGCTCATCAGCGACCTAAAGATATATTGTCATTTTTAATAATTAGATGTATTTTAAGCTTTAGTTTCCATATTAAAAACTACTCTCCATAGTTTGCAAGTCTATATAAATACCTACGAAAGAGCAAAGGAAAGTGAGTTTTACCTTTTTGGGCATAACTGACTGAATCATATGATCTTTGAACTGAGTTTCAGACTCCAAGTTTTTTCTGGCTAGTAACGACTGAGCAACTTTTAAAAAAGTTTTGCGTTGTTGGACTGAAAATTTATATGGTGAATAGAGAAAATTTTTTGATAAGATTTTTGTTCATTAAGCCAAAAAACAACAAAAATTTTAAAATTATTGACAAATTTAAAATATAAAACGATGAAACCGTAATCAAATTACTACAGTACCTTGTGTCAGGATAAACAGATGAATGCCAATCAAATGCATTCCAATGTGTAGAATAAACTTTATTCCTGGAATGCTTGTTTCCGCTATATCAGAAACCGCAAATTTTTCGAACAGTATTGAATAGATTGCTCCAATAATAAAGCATAAGTACAGCGGGAGCGGAACAAATGCATATATCAGTAGAATAACCTAAAAAAACAGCGGTTACAGTTTCCTTGCCGTCATCTAAAAAGAAAAATAAAAAAAGAAGAGAAAAAAAAAGGTGAAGAAAGGACAGAACAACTTCTATATATCATATTTCCGAAATTTGAATCATGAATGCAGCTATACCAAAGTAATTGTTGGTTTTACAGCAGGAAAAAAAAAGTGGGGGGAGCGCTTACACACATACACATATACAAACCTGAAAGCTTGTAGTTAACTTGCCAATAGGACTCATAAATTGTGAAGCACCACGACTAAATTCAATCAGTGTTGTCGCACAAAGAAGAAATACGCAAATAAATGAAGCCGGCATATAATACCTATAGTAGCGAGAGGAACAAACGGAAAAGAGGAATAAACCGGCGTACAAAAATAATAGTATAAATGTAGCAAACTGAAATACAGATACCACAAATGCATAAATAACAGAAACCAATTATACTGCTAAAATTATGTTAATAAGAAAACAAAAATTCTTTTTTTTTTTTTTTTTTT